CAGGTCAACCCCGGTCCTCGGGGGAGACCTTGATCTGGAGGAGGTGGGAATGGGGGGTGGGCTGGGGGGAGGGGTGAGCGAGAGGGGGAGAACAGGGGATTCTGTGGCTATTATGTTGAACTGAATGGTGTTATAAAATAATAATAATAATAAAAAAAAATATAAAAAAAAAAATATTTTTAAAAAATAAAAATAATGAAATCTTTAAAAAAAAAAAAAATCATGAAGTGGAAGCCAGAAGGTATCAGTACAATAACTTTAAAATATTGAGAGAAAATAAACTGTCCACTTTTGTGGAATATTCCTTTAAAAAAAAAAAAAAAAAAAAAAGAATCTAGTTCAAATGAGTTCAGTCTCTCACAAGCCCTACCTCAAAGCCCTATTGCATTTTTATCATGGAGGGTAACATATTGCCGCATAAAGCAATATTAACAAGTTCCAATAATTAGGATGTGAGTCAATTTTGGGGGTGGGAGCACTTTTATCTGCCTCTCACAGTGATAGGAGTTCCTTTGGGGTTATCTTTGTAAAGGTAGATCACCATTGGAAAGTAAGTAGCATGATATAATGCTGGAACTGTGAGCATTTGAAATGCTGACTATTACCATGTTTGTTTCTCTCAAAACCCAAAAAGATCCTATAGCAAGCCCATGAGGTCACTACAGCAGTCCTCTATACCCCAACTCTTGTGAGAACTGTGGACTTAAGGTATTTGCTGAAATGTCACTCCTCAAAAGACAATTACTTCTAGCCAATATCCCTATCATTGAGACTCGTTACTCTCAACCCATTCCCTCTGCTTCATCTTCCCACATGGCACTAGGCACCACCTTACATCACATGGTAGGTCTGTTTATCATGAAAGTTCCATAAGAGTGGATCTCTGTAACAAGTCTTTCTCTGTACCACCAGCTCCCCAAATAATGACACAGAGACTTCTTACTAATTATGAAAGATCAGCCTTAGCTTAGGCTTGTCCCACTAGCTCTTATAAGTTAACTTAGCGCTTATAATTTATATTAATCTACATCTTGCCTTGTGGCTTTTTACCTTTCTTTCATTCTGTATGTCCAACTCCCTCCATGTCTTGTTGGCATATGACCTGAGCCTAGATTCATCTCCTACTTCCTTTTTCTCTGCCTAGAAGTCCCGCCTATATCTCCTACCTAGCTATTAGCCATTCAGCTTTATTAAACAAATTATAGTAACCAATTTGCACAGCATGCAATTATCTCACAACATATCTCCAGCATCATCGTCATCTGTAAAACAGCATCTTGCAGAGTAGGCACTCAAGACATATTGCTAAACCCATGAATCTACACTATGAAAGTAGACCTGAGGTCTCCATGTCCCAACACATAAAATGTAGGCAACAGGATTTTTCTGTGAGGTTACCAGGTACATATTTTTTGACTCTGCATTTTAACATCTGTGATCCTTAAGTTCTTCAACAATATAAAACGTATTTCTCTGAATTATGCTCATATAACATTATGGTTGACTCCATGCCCATGTACTAGAAATGTAAGGTTGCTGTTCTACAGCTCTCCTGTGCCATATTCAACTATGTAACATCATAAAAGCAAAATCTGAGAGTCAATGAAAGCACTGGAAGCGTTTATTAAGAGAAGAAGTGGAATATAGAGGATGTAAGGGCAAACCTGGAACTACAGACATCAGATGTCAGAATGACTCACAATGGTGCTCCCTCTCCACCACTGTAGCGGGGGGCTCAAGGGAAAATGTTTTGGTTTTGGCTAGTGGTTTCATAAGTTTCAGTCCGGAGGGGCAGTGAAGCAGATCACAGCAGCTAGGAAACAGAATGAGAAGGGCCTATGCCACAAGGCTCTCTCTCCCTTTTATTGCAGCTAGCCCCCCAGGTCATGGAATGACACCACCACATTCCAGGTGAATCTTTCATCTTCCATCAGTTCTCTCTGGTAAGTCCCTCACAGACATAACCACAATGTCCTTTAAAAATCTCCCAAGCATGTCTCAATCTCATCAAGAACAACCACCCTAAGAATGAGAAACCTAGTAAAAGGTATATGTAATAAATGCCCCGTCTTTTGTAAGAAAGTTGATATGGAATGTTTATAACTAGTAAGTTTGAAATAGAGGCACAATTATTATTTCAACATGCAGTTGGAACCTCCAGAAACAAACACACAAACAACAACATCAACAGCAAACACTGTTCATCTTGCCTCTGGAAGAGAGACTGGAGCAAAGGCACGGGAAGACAAGGTTGGGCTTTTCCTTATCCTGTTTTTGTTGCCTCCAATGTTTACCACTGGATGCATTATGTCTGTGTGGGAAAGGGAAAGCAAACACTTAGTGCAGAGTGTGACTTGTGTGTGTGTGTGTGTGTGTGTGTGTGTGTGTGTGTGTGTGTGTGTGCTGACAACTTAAATCGAAAAGTAAAACATAATCTCACTTTTAAAATGTCTGTTGTTGTTCATACAGTTCTTCGGTTTTCAGAATAAGGTCTACAAATCCTTCCATCCATCTCTGGGCTCTCCACACCTGCAAACTCCATGACTCACTGGTGCATTGGATTCAAGCATGGGAGGCATTGTGTAAAATGAGCAGCAATTTGGAAAAGCAAGATCAAATGGAAACTCAACCCTTTGTTGAAGAGGAGCAAAGGATTCAGCACAAACTGGCCTGTAAGAGTAGCAGGTGAGTCACAAGGTACCCCAGGAGTAACTGGACTTTGGGATGGAAGACTAACTCAATGGTAAAAAGGATCAACAGTCTCAAGAGAACAAACCATGAATGACTAAAGGGCTGCTAAGGAATCATCTGGATCCTACAGAGGAAAGAGATGAGGAAGGAGCTCTCTTCCAAACTTTTCCCTAGCTGCAAATCTTGATGAGGCCACATTCCCTTGCCAGGCTTCAACATCCCATTTTAGATTATTTAATAAAAAGTGCCATTGACGGTGCCTCCCAGATCTCAGATATAAAGCTTTCGGCAATCATCCTCAGAAATGAGGGCAAAAATAATCAGGCTATTTATGCACCGTGGGATCCATGGAGACCAGAGGCAGGTGTATTTTATAAATATCAAAGCTGACCTAAAAACATGTTTAATGGTGAATCTTTTGTAAGAACCAGAGCTATCAAATGTGCTATATGAAAGACCAAAATAGTACTCAGTCTCAGGTAATTGCTATAAAGGCCTTGAAGACTATTTCTGACCTGCTGTTTTGTTGATTTTAGGCATAATTCAATAAGGTCATATGCAGAGGGTTCTTTTTAGTTTACAGGCCTCAGTTTAAAACTCATTTCTGCTCTGTAGCTAACAGTAATTTAGTGTCTACAAACAGCAAGGGCCACCTATGAGGATAGGATACAACATAAAATGAGAAAATGATATTCCCTGTATTACAGTCTGAAATTTTGTATCAACTTTCTAACCCACCACTTACCACTTACTGAAGCCAGAGTTTCCTGAGAAGACAAGAGATCCGCTAATTGTGCATCTAGAGTATTCATTAAACTACTCCAAAGCAAGACAAGTGTCACTCTGCCCCATAAAGCAGGGTAGTGTGCACACACATGCCTGCTTCTGGGTGGCAATGTGGATATTGGTGTGCCCAAGTCACCTACTTCAAGTTCTCATTATTGTCCTGCTTGTCCTAATTCAGCGATGTATCATCTTCTTGCATGTGTCTAAATGAGTTCAGCAGCAGATAAATCAAAGCTTTTCTTGCCCTTGTCTTTCCACACTGTTCAGATCATTCATCTGACCGTGGAAGAAAGGCAACAATTGCCAGCTTGGAGGAATAAAATACCCACATTGTCTTGATAGCAAAGCCTTTCTGTCAAGTGTGTGTGTGTGTGTGTGTGTGTGTGTGTGTGTGTGTGTGTGTGTGTGTGTATTTGAGAATACAAGTGAGTGTGAGAAAGTGTGTGTAACTGTGAGTGCATATGTGAGCCCATGAAACACACTGAAACCACACACCATGAACCAGACTTGGAAAGGAATCAAAGCCACAGAACGTTGCTCTTTTTTTTCCCTGGAGAGAACATAAATGCCAGTTTCAATTCCTTTCTCTTAAGAAGAAATTATACATCAACATTTCAAAGGCCGTGTAAGAGCTTATTGTTATATCTTCATGAACTAAAGGAGCAGAAAATTAATTGACTCTCTAACTGGCAAGCCCTTGGTCAGACAACAGTCTTCACCTTTCAGAGTCCGGGTGCATTTTCCATGACTAAATGTAGAAAGAATGGTAGACCAGGAAGCCCTCACCTGGGGGAACCTGAAGATCACAGCACCCAGACTGTCTCTTTAGCTGCCTTTCCTCAACCCACCTGGACTCTTCAGTATTTTACTTCATCCTTTGAAGATTTTTATCTTGTTATCATTTTTTTTTTTTTTTGGTTTTTCGAGACAGGGTTTCTCTATGTAGCTTTGCGCCTTTCCTGGAATTCACTTGGTAGCCCAGGCTAGCCTCGAACTCACAGAGATCCGCCTGGCTCTGCCTCCTGAGTGCTGGGATTAAAGGCGTGTGCCACCACCGCCTGGCTTGTTATCATTTTTTTAATACAAGGGCTGTGCCTGTGACTGAGACCACAAAAGGCTTTTGGGGTTTCTACCAGAGCCCCTGACTGCCCAGGAGAAGGATGTAGCACCAAGATGCATGAACTTCTGCCCACGCTCAGCAATTCCTAGGTTGGGCCTATCAGCTCCTCTCTCTGAAGAGTTAACTGTGGGACTGTACTAGTACCTGCTTGTGTGACTCTCATATTCTGCAGAGAATCATGAAAAACTCCATCTCCCCCCAGAATAAAGTAAATGACTGGGAGTCTTCGGGATTCCAGCTTTACTATGTAGCTAGGGTTGAAGCCCAGTTGAAATCTATAAAATTCCTATTGAGATTTTGAATTTCTCTGGAGGCAAAAGGTAGCAGAATATGGTTATGCATTGAATATTTCAACTAATAATTTTACTTAACTGGAACTTTCTCCACTGTGCCCATTTTTAAACTACAACACAATCGTTAATTCTTTCAATAACAACTTTGTTCTTTGCTAGTTGCTAAAGTGATGTTAACAACTTTCTTTAAAGCGTGCCCATGATAAATGTGTGGATACAGTGTTGGGCACACACAGAGACACACCACGCAAACATACACACACTCCCACTGTGGTTCTGAGGAGCTTTATCAAGTGTGCTTGCTTTTGGCCTAGACAACTTTAAAACACTGGAAAGGAACAGAGGGGACGTGAGGGACACCATGAAAAAAAACCAACCCTTCAAATTACAGGTATAGATGAAGGAGAAAAATCCTAAGTCAGTGGCGTAGACCAGATACTCAACAATCATAGAAGGAAATGCCTCCAAACTAAGAAAAGTATTCATCAGTATTCACAGGCTCACCGTCTCTCTGAATCCTTCTGTGTAGTAACTACTTCTTTTCTTTCTTGTTCTAAGAAACCATGTTCTGATATTTCAAACGGGCTACTGCTCAGAGGAGAGAAAGTATAAACAATCCTAAAGGTTCATGTCTTCCATTTGGTAGTCAGGAGAAAGTTGATGTGAGAATGTGAGGATATAGAGCAGTTACTAGAACTGACGAGGTTCCAGAGCTCCTGAGGTTTCAGGGTGTCCTAGATAGAACAGTTGCTCCAACCCAAATTGGATACACAGCATCACAGGGCCTGGTTCATATCTGTGGACCATTGGCCATGGGGTAGGCAGTGTGCTTATACCATACACAAGCTGTAGGAAGATGTGGTCTTGGGAGGTATGTGTACTTCTCTGCTGGTAAGATTCTCCATGATGAACTCTACTGTACAGCTTCATCACCAGAGGCCATCATGGTATAGTTCCTTATTTCTTCCCCAAACAACCACTCCAAACTCTAGTCAGCACCTCTTTTAAAGCTACTGGGAAGTGTCTTTCATGATCAAAGGTGTGTCCAATCTTTAAATATTGCTACATGATGTCATAATCTACAAAGTTCACACTTGAGAACTGTGGGATGTTACAGAAAAAAATCACAAAAATATCTCAATGTCTTAAAGTTTATGATTTGGGGCCAGGTCTCATCCATAGATATCCTTGGTCATGTATAACCTGGGGCTGAAGGTTGGACATGCCTGAGAGGAATGTTCATAAGCAAAAATGTCCAAGGATCTCATAATGGCCAAGGTAAATGTCTTAATATTAATGTCCACATTATACAATGGTTTGTTTAGGATTCAAAGAGATTTCTGAAGACATCCTTTAAAACGTATCAGTAATTACATATTGGCAATTTTTTGAAAGAATCTGGGCGATTCCGAGCACAAACCTGAGTAAGAAGCTTTTATAACACCATAGTTATTTGCCAACATGGAGCATTTGAGACAGGATACACAGCTCTGCCTCTCTATTCCTTTCCCCATGGGTACATTCTTTTGGTGTAGGGCAAATATATGTGTTAGGAGTATGGTGGTATCATAGACTCTGCTAACAATAATTCTAATGTTATTACAAACCATCAAAGCAATTATTTATAATCTTTAGTTATTTTTCACTGAATCTAAAATGGCTACTCACTGAGGAATATTTTATATAATCAGACATAACAGGAAGACACAAAGCAATCATGGACCCTCCTTTAAATAACAGACTCAATTAAAAATAGTGGCTAGAGATGTCAAACATATGCATAAAAAATAATATCCTAAGCTTTTAAAAAGTTTAAATAAAGATATCAGCAACTCACCAAATACTTCATATACTAAGGGGACTTAGGAATGGAATTGCATATTCTTTACACATTTGAATGAAATCTTAGAGCAGCATGTGTTCCACACAATTTAGCTAGAGATCTCAGAGGATTCCAGAACATAATCATAGTAAGAGTGCTGTTCCAGAATAAAGTCTAGGCAAGCAATGAAAGGAAAATAAATGGATTACAGCAAGCATACTAAAAAGGAAAAATAATGTTAGATAAATTTCCCCCAAGAAACTAGTGATAAGGAATAGATTGTACTGTGTTTGCTTTGCCTTTTATTTGCAAATAACGTGTTCAGCTCAAAAGAGAAGATAAAGTCAAATAGAATTATTTGCCAGGTTTGTTTTTTCCTAGGGTACCCTAGTACTTTCAGATAACAATAACAAACAGTAACATATTTCCAGGGCTTAAAGTTGATTTACAAAGATGCTCACATGTGGGAAAAGGAAAGTCCAGAGCAAAAGTCACAGGTCCCCAATCAACCTCTGTAAGTAGCTCTCTGCCCAGCCCCAGTTCCTAAGGGGAAACAACTTCATTGACATAAAAGCAATGCCCAACAGTCATCCTTATCTAGTGTGGAATCCATGACTCAATCATTACTAGTGATCCCATTAGTTGAGTTGAAATTTCAGCAACTTTTTAACTTTGAAGAAAAACTTTGAAAGGACAAAGTATAAATCTCTCCAATGTCTGGCTGTAGCCCAACTTACTGCATTCTGGGCACAGAGCTGAATGCTTGGTGTTTATCAAGTTTGAGCACCAAGGCCCAAACGAGAGAGGCCAGAGCTTATACCCACAGTTCATTTCTGCGCACTGCAGCTGATTCTGTCATTGATGGCTGCCGAATGGTGTGGCAACCTCCAGGAGAGCTGTAAGATGGGGCATGGGTGCAGGCCTGGCTTGTAGTGACTTTGAGAGAGAGAGAGTCTTGGAAGATTGGTTGACTGGCTCAGAAGTTCCATTAGTCACATCCACCACCATTGCTGCCTCTCTCGTAGTCAACACCGGGGTCGTCGGGGCTCCTGTCATACACCCAATTAGATGGCAAAAGCAAGTGGCAAGGGCTAAGAACAATGGTGGAAAGGGCAGACCAGGGGGTTCCAGCTTTCCTTAGACAGGCTCCAGGGGAGAATTGTTATTATTATCCTGCCAAATGGGCATGGTATTAAACTGACTCCTAATGACTTCTCCCTCTGCCCACAGATTAGCACATCTCTCCACCTTCATCAGAGATGCTTCCATTCCTTCCGCAGGAGGTGGGGGTTAACACAGAGGCCCACAACTGGCCAAGGTACAGAGAGGCTGAGACTGCAGATGGCTGAGTCATAAATGGGGCCTCTCTCCCACATTCCCTCCTCCCAAGGCTCAATAATCACTACAGAGGAGAGGGGAGGAAGACGGTAAGATCCAGAGGTGGTGGACGGATATACAGAAAGAGTGTCCAAAAGACACAGAGGGACAGCTACACACATGAACTCAGCAACTGTGACAGCATTCACAAGCCAGAACAAATCCCAACACGGAGAGGGGAGGTAGACACCAAGTCCTACCCCTAGCCAAGGAGCTATCGGCCATTGATAGCCACTGGGAAAGGGAGAGTCAGATTTCTCCAAGAGTGTAGGCCCTGATACGTTGACCACCATGGTCCAGCGGAAGAGCATATATCCAAACACATATTTACGGTCAGCACAAATTCTACTAGACTGGGCGGGGGTAAGGGGGGGGGATACATGTTGTGTGGGTATAGAAGGGAATATGGGACTGGAAGGAGTTGGTGGAGAGTGAATACAGTTGAAACACATTGTATGGAATTCTCAAAGAACTACTGAAAATATTAAGAAAAATTGCATTAGCTTCATCATCCTGCCATATCAGAGAATAGTGAGTAACTAGGTTGATTTTCCTCCTAAAAGCATCATGTGGCCACTGGAAGCTCTATGTGATGTGATTCTATCTCACTGATGATTCATTGGATGTGAAAATAGTCAGAACTTTGAAAACAGGACATCTGTCCCCAGCTGGGTCATTGGAACCCTGCCAAGCTGCTATCCCTTCATGGAGTGTGGCATGTGCCACTTGAACAACATAACACATCTTCAGTGGATGCTAATCAAATGCATCCATCTCCAGAAATGCGATCAGGGGACCAGAGTCCATCTGGATGCCACTGCCACACGATGCAGAAAATTTGACAAATGACCATCCCGGCCACCAGAACAGTTGAGAGCCTACCTGCAACAAGATCCATCCCTGACTGTCCGCACTGCAGAGCAGGCAGGATGCTGTGGGCACCGTCCTGATCTTGCTCTGCGCATCCCTCACCCTAACACCTTCTCAACAGAACAGCATGGACAGACCCCCTCAGCCCCTCTTCAAATCTGCCTCTCCATTAGCTCAGCCTAGAAATGGGGTTTGTGCAGAAATCAAACTTACTTTCCTTTAAAAAAAATAAATAAATAAATAAATAAAAGAATCAGGGATGAAAATTTTTGAATTCTTAAGTAGCACTCGATCTTTCATATTCAAATTACTTGTAATTCCATAATGAATTATTTTTTTACCTTGTTATGGTTTTCTTTTTCATTGCATTTTATTTGGGGGACAAGGGAGGCAGATAGTGTGGTGTACATGTGGAGGTCAGAGAACAGCCTGTAGGAGTCAGTTCTCCTACCATGTGGGCCCCTGGAAACAAATTCAGATCATCAGGCAAGCACCTTTGTCAACTGAGCCTCAGGGGTCTCTCCTCCTCTAGAAACTAACCTTGACCCTGTCCTTGGCTTGCTCAGTCCTGCTCAGAAACTGCAGCAGAACTCTCCTACTTATAGTACATGACCAGACTCTTCAGGCCACTGTTCAACACCTCATTATAATTGCTCTTCTTCAACAAGGATCCTGCCAGGTCAGTTTAGTCACAATCCTCCTTCTGCCCTGATGTTTCCACCCAGTAAACCCTGTTCTACTTCTTAGCTACACATCTTCCCTTTTCTTTGCTGAACTCGGGGTTGGTCCATGTCTCCCCTCTGTGGCAAAGACCCCACTGCAGCATCTGTCTTGGGGAATGTCTCCCTAAGCACCTTTAATAAGCCCTATGATTCATTTTTCTCCTTAACATCAGGACTCTTCAAAACCACACAGAAATATCACAGGGTGCTCAGAGAGGAGAATCAGGAGCCATCTTTATACACATGCCAGAGATGCAGATAAAGTTCAGTGGATCCAGTCTCTGACTCTGTAAAAAAAAAAAAAAAATGATGCTCCCTGATGTGTACCACGTTGGGGTTTGAATGAGCAACGTTCCTTACAGGCTTGTGTATCTAAACAAGTGGTTCCTATTTGGTGGTGCTGTTGGGGAAGTTATAGAACCTTGGAGGTGCGGTCCCCCTTCTGGAGGAAGTATGTCACCGTTGAGGGGCGGAGGCTTTTTTGGGCTTAGATACTTATCCTACTTCCTACTATAATTCTCTGCATCCTGTGTGTGGATGAAAATGTGACCAACCAGCTTCCTGCCTCTGCTGCCTTCTATACTACTATGGACTCTAACCCTTCAGAACTAGTAAGCTAAGTAAGCTCTTCTATAAGTTGCCTTGGGTCATGGTATTTTATCACATTCACTGAAAAGTGACTAATACACACGGCCACCACCAGTAAGCATTGCAGCGGTTTGGAGCACACATACTATGGAGTTTTCCTTGGTTTCATTTGGGTGTTACCATGCTGTGAGGCCATCAGACAACTCTCTGGAAATGCTTCCCACACAACATCTTCCAGAAAAGCCTCTCCTCTATAGTTATCATTGCTAAACTGCCAAACTCATAAATGATTGTCTACTGATTTCCACCTTTGTAAATTCCCAATCTAGACATCTTCCCACAAAAGTAATAACGGATGGGCAGGTCTGCGCCGATCTGTGTTTTAATGAGCAACCTTATGCTGCACAGTCAGTTAAGAGTACAGTCAGTGCAGAAAGACATCCAGACACAGTTTCTATAACACTACACATAGACCCATCATTTAACTCAGCAGTGCCATTCCCAGGAATCACCCACAGATATCCACCAGTTCCTATAACCACTCTTAGGGATTATTACAAATTTGGTCACTTAAAGTCACTCAAATGCACTGTCTTACAGTTCTGCAAAGCAGAAGTTCAGAACACACAGCTCTTACTGGGTTCAAAGCACTGTGTTGGCTAAGTCCCATCTTTCTCCAGTATTAAAGGGGAAATCCAGTTCCCCGTCTTTCTTCCCTCCTATCAGAGGCCCATATGCCTTGTTCTTCCAGGCTTTGCTGTGACTTGAGAGCCATGTTCCTGTCAAGCTGCCATGCTCAGACTCTCACACAGCTGGGGGAATCCTCTGCTCTCAATAATGCATATGACTGTAAAACTGGTAACATCAAGACATGCCCAGACGTAAACTCCTCAAATGAAGTTGTGAAGTCGCCCTTCAGGAGAACCCTCCAGAAGCCACTCAAGGGTGGTTTAGGAGCAACTTTCTAGAAACAGACGCACACCATGGGAGCTGGCTTGTCTGTCAGTGATCTCTGACCTTTACAAGTTCAGATCTCCCAGACACAATACAGTGACTTTCCCCACTAAGAAACATAAGACCTATAAAGGACTGATAACCGTACAACATGAAGGAACACAAAGCTCCCTTCTCTCCCCTTCCAGTGAGCAGCTTCTTCTCTCCCTCCCTGTAAAGACCCCACTGCCAATCAGGCAAGCAGATCTACTCTCACCCATCCTGCTTGGCGGTCCACTGTGGAATAACGCTTTTTTTCTCTTTGAGAACCCATTGTCATCAATACCAGGCAGATCATAGGCAACTAGGAAGTCCAAGACAGACTGACTACCCACTATAGAGTCTTACTAGCAACCTTGCTTATAAGGATTCTTTGTAGATGAACTTTCTTTGGGACTGTCAGCTCCCTAATAATGACAGAAGACTTATTAATTATGAAAGCTTGACCTTTACCTTAGGCTTGTTCCAAACTAGCTCTTATAACTTAAATTAACCTGTTTCTATTAATCTACATTCTGCCACATGGCCTTTTACCTTTCCACCATCCTGTATATCCAACTCCTTCCATGTCTGGCTGGCATCTCTCGGACATCTAGATTCTTCTCTAGTTCCTCTCTCTCTCCCTGGAAGTCCCGCCTATTCTCTCCAGCCTAGCTATTTGCCATTCGACTCATTATTAAACCAATCAGAAGGTGTGCCTTTCACACAGTGTGATCAAATATCCCAAACAATTCTGACTGAGTTGTGATGTGGAAAATACATCAGTTCCTTTGGTCCTTTGTATTACTGATAGACCCCCAGTAGTTTACCAATGCTGTAGAGCATTGGTTCCTAACCTGTGGATCACACCCTTCTTGGGGTTGAATATCAGATATCCTACATATCAGATATTTACATTACAGTGTATAATAGCAGCAAAATTACAGTTACAAAGTAGCAACAAAATCATTTTATGGTTGGGGATCACCTCAACATGAGGAACTGTATTAAAGGGTCACAGCATTAGGAAGGTTGAGAACCACTGCCAGAGAATCAGTGTCTGAGAAAGGTGACAGCAGATATGAACTTACCATCTATGGTAACTGTCAGTACACAGTAAGCATCATAGATAACCCAGGAAAGTTCAAACAGGAAAACACATATCTGCATGAGGTCCTTCTTAGTACTAAAAACTGAATACTTGGCATATAAGAGAGAATGAGGAATTCTATGTATTAATTTGAAGTCATTAAAATAGCTTACAGGCCTAGAAGAAAGGGGCTTGTAATTTGACTATGGGTTTCGAGAGGGGACTATTTTTCACACCCCAAAGGGGATACTTGGCACTGCCTCCGTGTATACGAACTAGAAAGCTGCTCAGGATGAGAGGTAGAGGCCAGAGGTTCTGGGAAACTTCCTATAAAGCTCAGAGCACCACTCAGAATCATCCAGTCCCAAACACCACCCCTGTTGAGTTTGAGAAATTCTGGGTTAAAAAGACAACAAAATATATTTAGGTAGTTACATAGTAGAAAATCCCTTGAAGAAGGCATCTTTGAGCTGCTGGAAACATTATTAACAGGTCTATGGGCCTTCTGGTCAACAGGTCAACATGCAAACACTCTCCAGTGACCACAGCTGAGGAGGAGTTGGGAAAGACTGGAGTCCTTGTAAAGATAACAGGAGAAACAAAAAAGGCCACTTTTGGGGGGGGGGGCTGTGGGTGTTACCCAGACAGCCTCCCTAGATATTGGAGCGCAAATTGTCAGTGTGTCTTGGATACAATGTTTATCCTACGATTATAGATGAGGAAGAGAAAAGGGAGAAAGCACCCTGGTTTTCTTGAGACTTTCCAAACATTTGCTGTTTGCTGCCAGTAGCCTTTTGTTTGGAAAACAGCAAAGTATGTGTGCACACTTGAGCCCATCTGTACCCACCTGCCTGAGGATCCCAGTGTTCACGCCCAACAGTGGCAGGGGTCCCTAAACATGTCACATTGCCTCTGACTGTGTCAAAGAATCATAGCAGTAGTGGTTGGCACTGCAACACTGTTAACAGCCACTCTTTTTGTTATTTTATCCAAATATACAGGCCTAGAGGGTAGAAAAGAGAAATAATAAAGCATCTGTCCGGGGCTTGCTTGAAGGAAGGGATTGTGTGAGGTAGAGGATTGTAAATTAAAGAGCAAAAGCTTGGGTGTCAAACACCAAAGGATGTGTGTTCATCGGCTCCCTCTAGTCTATGCCTCCACATCCACAGGGGAAAATTCTAGCTCAGTTTTGTTGCTTTATTTGACAAATCATCATAGGCAATGTCAGAGATTACAAAGAGACTAATTTTGTTTTTCTACCTTCCTAGGATGAGGTGGGAAGGGCCACGCTAGAATCAGATACAAAGGGCTAACTCCCTTTAGCGAGTTTCGACTCCTTTTAGTGAGTTTTTACTCTGTGTAGATTCTTGCAGTAGCTTGATTTCTGCTTTGTGGAGGAAGGGAGGGTGGCTGGGGAATTGGCTGTGTTCCTTTTTAATGAAAAACCCAGTGTCAAAACGATCATCAGGATTTCTTTTTTCTTCCCCTGCCAGCCTATCACAGTCACGCGTTCACCACACGCTCAGGAGCAGTGAGCCCCGGCTTTGTAAAGACCACGTCTAATAAACAAAACAACCCATGTCGTTTCACGCTAATTCAAAGACTCACTGCAACTGCTGTGCGGTGAGGAAGCCAAGAACTATACTGTAACCCAAACATAAACACATCACATCGCCAGGAAATGACTAACGCGGCTCCCGTAACAGATCTTTCTAAATGGTTTAAGCATGGATGAATACATCATTTTGGAAAGAGTTCAAACATATGCAGAATTGAGTCAACAAATGTATATTTCTCACTAAAATACTCCCACTTGCCTTCAATATGGCTGGGGGAACAGAGCATTTGAGCGGGGGGCCATGCACATGCATTGGCCTGACCTG